AACTGGATTTCTGGCAAATCAATGGGAATTATTCTGTACTCCCAGTGTTTTTAAAGGATTAAATGGGGATATATTCACATATTCCAGAGAATTATTATGAATAAAAAAAAAAAAAAAAAAAAAACACACACACACACAACACACTTTAAAATAGATTCAACAGAACAAAGGAATTGAAAAATGAACAGACTATGCAGATGCTAAATCTTGTCAGAAAAGATGTGATCTAATTTACATATTTATGAGGAAAGCGGTACCAAAAAAGGCATTTTACTAAAATAATTAAAATGAACACGTGGGCACCCACTCAATTAAAAAAACAAAACAAAACAAAAAAAAAAGGCTGTGGCAGCATAAATCAATTGAACTGTCATTTTATTTAATAAAAATTAAAATACATTGTATAACAATGTCACAATACAGATCATTCCCAACACTCCCAAAAGTGCAGACACTTGTAGCACTGCAATGACACCTGTGTGTAGACAGGTGTTGACAGAGTGATCGGTCGGTCCAGTCCTTTCATTCTCTGTCCACAGAAGACATTACTAAAAAGGCAAGAAGCAGAGTGGAAAGTGAAGTTATTCAAAGCAACCAACCAGCAATCATCTCATTCAGAACTCTTTGAACCGTCTATAAAAAAAAAAAAAAAAAAAATAATCAAGTTTGGTTGGTTGTTATGAGATGCCACACTTTATGGCTTCTCTTTAAATTGCCTTATTTAAGAATTTATTTATCCGATATGGGATGGTTTAATCAATGAAGTATCGAGAATGGAGATTTTCTGAATTATCTTCCAGTTGGTTTCACTGAAGATATTTTTAATACAAAGAAATGCAAAAAAAAGATTAAACTAATGATGTATACCAACTTTCTTGCCAATGGCATCATACACAAAGGTAGGGTTTAAAGGGCTCCTAGCCACAAAGCCGTAAGGGACCAAACCTTTAATCTGTTGCATTTTGAAGGTCAATTCAATCCAACTCAATTTCATTTGGGACTGGATTAACCTGCTGCTTCTTATATCTCATAGAGACTCCAGTGGTGAAATTTCCCTGAAGTATTCTGTCTCCGCCCCCTCCCACAGGGCCATATCCAAGGGTGTCACTCTTGTGCTGGTACCCAGTTATGGTAGCTGGTGTGGAACTGAAAACCCCTGTGGGGATCTCTCTTCACTACAGTCCCAAGAAGAAAAAGAAGCAGTGAGTAAATCACTCCAATGAACAGTGATATTAGTCTTGCTTGGGGCTGACCTTTCATTTTAGTATTCTTCCTTTGGCTTAAAAGTACTGACCCAATAATAAGTCTTGCTTAGGGTTGACCTTTAAATTTTGGCTTAAAAGTACTAACCCCAGATAACAACGTGTAACAATTCTAAGGTCCTCTCAACAACAATAGCTTGCCAAACTGAGAAGAAAAAACTGCTGGAAACTGAAGGAGCATTAGAAGTACCACCTATTGATGTAAAGGACAAAACATACTCATACCCGTATGGAAGATAAATCATCAACCTGTCAATGTGATATCAAGGTAGGCACCTCCAAGTTGGTTCAGCATTCATCTCATACATGAACATATAACCAAAGACAAGTGCAGAAACCTGGAGGTGCCTGCTATTACATCCAAGTGACAGGTGACATATCTTTTTTTTTGGTACAGGTACAATGTAACTGGCAGGAGAGCATGGTTGGGTGTGACCAGTGTTCCATCTGGGCCCTTCTTGGGCCAGTACATGAGATCTCTCCTCAAAGTGTCTTGTGTATCTGTAGGGAGATCTTCAACACCTCATGATCCAAAAGTAAAGTAGTGGACCTGTATATTCTGTATCTTCTCTTTACAAGATGCCTTACCTAGCTATGGGGAGACTTCAGACACCCTATTTGCCAAAGGTAAAGCAGCAGACCGCAGATGCCATATGAGTCAAATGTAAAGCAGAAGAATACCTTTACATGCTCCTCTGTCTCCACAAGATGGCTTGCCTATCTATGGTGGTATCTGAGACACTATTACCTGAAGGTAAAGCATTGGACCTCTTCATGATTCTCTCTCTCCACAAGATGCCTTGCCAGTCTATAAGTAGATCTCAGACACCTTATGAGTTGAAGGTACAGCAGCAAAATACCTCTACATGCTTCTCTGTTTCCAAAGCATGGCTTGACTATCTATGGGGATATTTCAGATACTTTTGGACCTGAAGGTAAAGCAGTGGACCTTCTTTCTCCATAAGATGTCTTGCCAATCTAGGAGTCGATCTCATGAGCCTTGTGAGATCTGTAAATGTTTCTTTCACCACAAAATGCCTTGCCTATCTATGAGGAGATCCCAGACACACTTTGAGCTAAAAATGGTAAAAGCAGCAGAATACCGCTCGGCTTACCAATACCCTATGAACTGGAGGCAAACTAGCAGGTACCTCCTGGAAAGGCTTTGACCATACAGCAAGCATGTAGATAAATTAGATGGTACTAACTCAGGGTACCAATCCGAACTCTTGGCAAATGAAATGTTTTCAGCTGTTGTCCCTTTATAGTGCACTACAATCTGTGTAAAATAAGCCTTGAAAGCCCAACAATGCTGGGGTTCCGTACTTTGTCCAAGCACAGTTGTATTTCAGGATGTCATTCTACTAATCCAAGACCTACCTGTTGCCAATAATCTAGTGCTGGCAACACCATCTGCCAAGACGTGACATAGCAGGCCAGCTTTAATCACTCTCGCCACTAATGTAATCTTCCTACAAGACAGAAGGGGAAGTTGCACCATGCAAAATCAGGTGACTTTAGGAGGTCCCAGCCAGTAGCACATGTAGCATCCAGAATCTAAGCTGAATTGGAATTACATGAAACTGACATAACATACTGTAAATTGGATGGACCTTGAGTTTAGATTTCCTATATTTCACTGGTAGGTCACTAGCTGAGCTCACTTGTTGCCTGTAGTTGCAACATGTGATATAGAAATAAGGGAACTGCCATTGTCAACTTGAATCTATATAGGCTCTGGGGCAATCAACCTCCTCTTGCCTTTATTGGCTGCATTCTTGTTCCAGGTAACCAATCACTAGGTAGCAAAGTTGCACCTTTAGGGTCCATGCACACTAGCAGCAGAAAAAAATGCCAGCACCTCCGGCAAAAAAAGTGGCATAAAAAAAATGTCCAAAGTGGCCCTGTGTTCTTCCTGTAAAGTCTTCTCTTTAAATATGCCTCCAAATGTCATGGTACATGGAGACATAGAATAAAATTGAGCTGCTTCTGTAGGCAGGAGAAAAAAAAAACCCCTGCAAAACACCCATAGAAGCACCATTTTTTAAGCCCAGTGTGCATGATCCCTTAGTGAGCATTGAGGCTTCCATTGTCTTTTTATCAGCAACAAGTAATAGGAGTTGATTAGGAGGACCAGCTATTGCATAAAACCAACACTTTGTACATGGGTCCACTGGGTACTGAATAAGCGCTGTCTTTAGCATGAAACAAGTTTACCTGCCAGTCTCCCACTGTATTTCCACTGTCTGTATTGGTTTTATCTTGGTTCAATAAAGTGGTTTGTTTGGAGTGCAGCCGACCGGATGTCCTTTGATCTCAACCAATAGGAGGTACTTCTGCTCCTAGAAATACAACCTATTTTAGAGGCTATCAGTCTCTATGGGAAGATTTTCCTCATATCAAATATTTTTTTTTCCTCCACCATTCAGTTATAGTGTACATTTATCAAAAAGTCTGGAAAACTCTCTTCCCCAGACTACAATCTGATCCCTTAAGTGAAATTCCACCGAAACAAAAACAAAAATTAAACAGAAAAGAAATGCATTTCATAAAAGTTTCAGAGAAAGTACAAGAAAGCCAATTAAAATTTTAAGATGCAGAACTTTCACATTTACTGTAGATGCCCTTACTTTTTACCAGGCAGTGTGCATGACAATATATATATTTATTATCATGGAATTTGAAAACATCCCTTAGTATAAAAGGTTTTAAAAAAAAACCTCTCAATCTGAATAATTGTAATCCTAAATTGTGATTTTCAACCAATAGGATCACTTGGGACCTTATGGTCTAAAATATTTACTCACATTTTTCTACTTCTGGACAGCCTACAGAACTGTCGTCTTTTCATCAGCTTTTAAAACTGCAACTGAAGAGTGTGCTGGGACTTGACCTTCCACCAGGGCTGCACAGATGCAGGTTGGCCAAGCTAAGCTTAGGGGATTAGCCATACTTACAAGGGATCGATATTGGTGCTGCCACTGCTGACTTGTTTTAAAGTTCCAATTATATTGTCTTTTTTCCCACTTTATAGTTCTGTACCACCAAGGTATGATTTGTGACTAACATTACTTGAAAAATTGTCCTTTTCTGTTAGTGGAAATGCACTTTATGCCCTCCCCTCCAGTGCTCTATGCTGGTACTTCAGTATGTTGGACATACCCCTCATCTTAGGTATCCTCACACAACCTTGTACTATACGGGAAGAGAGGGAACAGTGTCTGACCAGGTCTGTTAGCCTGTATGCACTCAAAGACATGGAGGGTCTTTAATGCTGATGTCTGGTGAGCCTCAACAATTTAAAACAACATGAAGGCCCAATTGGAAAACCATATGGGATAACAAGAGCCCACCTCATTGGTTATATTACAGTCCACTTATTCCCCAGCTAGCAGCCATGTTACGACAGCTTAGATGTCCATCCACAGTGCTCCTTCTCCTTACCATCCAGACCTTCTCTATAATCCGATCACTAGTAAATTTTAAAGAATAATCTGATAAAGCTATGAGTCCTGGAATAAATCCCGATTTCATGTCTCCCTTGTGATTAAACGTCATGGAGATGAAAAGCCAGTTCGAGTCAAGCAAGGCTTGATAAATGTGCTTTAATTGCTAGGAGCTCAGCCGAATAGGTGTCCTCAGAAGGGCTCCAGCCGCATAATCCTCTGAGACACAGAAGAGATTACTACCATGGAGAACTGAACGGAGATGGGTGCATATTAAGCGAATTGTCTATGGTCACTGGCCTGTGTGGACCTCCTCTGAGGCCTGCACTGTGCTCAGGTACTGCCAACTGAAGGCTGCCAGTAACATGGCGCAGGACAGATATATTGGAGAAAAGCTGTGCCGGGACACCAGGGGGCCATTTGGAAAGCTCAGCTTCCTGACAGTAGCCACAATGTTTTGTGTCCGCCCAGAAGATGGGTCTGTCATTGGAATCTTCTGATAGATCTAAAAGAGGGGAAAAAAAAAATGAATATCACATTTAACAAAAACAAACCAGCAATAAAATGACTAACCAACAACCAAAAACATGTGAAACTAAGAGGTAAGGTAGATAAACTACAGGCATGCAGCCTACACACAGTATTCTGCATGTTGATTGTTTTACCTGCAAAAAAAATCTTTGTTCAGCTAGTCCTATGATCCAGACACACCATAGCAGGGGCGGACCGACAACTCATGGGGCCCCCGGGCAATAGGGGATCATGGGTCATGGATGGCCTTGCCCAAACTCAAAAAAAGCCTATGAAAAAGGTACCAGGGGCATCTCATGGGGCCCCCTACTGACCCCGGGCCCTCGGGCAGTGCCCAAGTTTCCAAATGGTCAGTCCGCCCCTGCCCCATAGCCAGGTTTGGATCTTCCACAACAGTCAAAACATACAGTTTGTTCGAGGTCATATCTCCAGCTTGCTGACTGTACAATGAAGGAGCAGCAGCATACTGATGAGGCATCACGCTGCTCTCTCCTCCAGTCAGTAAGCTTTCATTGTAAGACTGACAGAACTGCAACATTGCCTGACTGGCTACTAGTGTTGGCACCCTCTCTGCTAGCCAGGTTGCAGAGGCAATTACAGGAGAATCCTGGTGACGCTGATGCCTCAGGGATCCTGGATTGTAGCTGCACAAGTGAGATCTTAAAGGCGCTTGTACTTTATTCTGCTTGTAACTCTTTTAACATATGGAAATGATTTTAATACACTATCATGTCCATCCCATGTCAGAGTATATTGACCGTGCACAAGGTGGAGACCTGGAGGTCTCTTAAGTGACACACACCAGCTGATATTCCTACAAGGGAGAAGGTCCATATTGAGAAATCCCAGGATACATACTCATACCCAGTGGGGGTAAAATGCCTATGTAGACCTAACAACAAAGATGTTAGGTCCACTATTGGAGGTGAGCAGATTGGGGTACAGGTGGTAGGACCCACGTGCATGTTTGGTGTGGATTATTGAGATCTTTAACAGAGAGTGAAGGAAGATTCTGTTTGAAATAACAGTGCTTGGGACTATTAATTTGGACGTATTTTGAAGTTTATGCACGATTTAATCAGCTAATACTATATATATATATATATATATATATATATATATATATATATATATATATATATATATAAAATTTATTATTTTCTCTAATAGCTATGTATATATGCTTAAAAGGAGACATAGGGCTTTTCCCTATTTATAATTACCTAGGTGGATGCAGAATCGGTCAGATACTGCGCCTGTCCGACGGCTGTAAGAGTGAGAATTTAGCGATCACATGCCGGTTGATCACGGACAGCCGCTCTGAGGATAGAGTAGGACTGTCAGTCACCACTTTCTGCTCAGCCCCATCAACGATGACTGGAAAGCTGGGCTGTGGAGGGAGCAGCTGGTGCAGGCTCTCAGCGCTTCGTGAGGTGCGGCTCCGGACTCTGGAGTGGATCCCAACTTTGAAGTCGGGATCTTTCCCCAGCCTTGATTGGCTGAGTGACATCAGCCGATAGCGGACTTCAGCCTGCTGTCATGAAAACGGGTCACAGGAGTGCAGAACAAACTGCACTCCTGTGATCCACAGGAGAAGTACAGCCAAAAAAGCTTTTAAAAGGTAGCGCCGCATTACATATATAGAATTCAAGGAATGGAAAAGTGTGAATCCAGCCTAAACCTTCAGTCAGTCTCTTGAGGGCTGGTTCCCAGCTCCACTTACGTTACAACCACTTTAGGTTGGTCCTGTGCCTGCTGACTTGTCATAAGTGAGAAGACTGCCTTCTCAGATCATGGCTCAATCCCAACAGTAGCTATGGAAGACCTTGCTTTATACTGCAATGTTTTGTACCTAAGCAGCTTTAATCAGTTTTATACAGGACATGATGTGCTGACAGGGCAGAACACTTAAAACATACATACCTCCTCTACATACTGGTACATGATGGCCCTTACAGCCTGGATGTTTGTGGCGTCCATCATCAGAGTCACAGCCTGGCCCTTCCGAATCTTTACCACTCCTTTAAACACTTTCTGGTTGTTGTAACAGGCGGCCAGTGTGGCGATAGCCATCACCTAAACACACAATATCTGTTAGAGCCAAGAATAACACTCACAACTATACACAGGCAATGCCGATCAGAGATTATAAAAACTACAACAACTTATTAAACCACATTGGAAAGAAACAGAAAGTAACAGGTCTCATTCATACAAGTTTGAAAGGATCACATTTCCTGTTTTTTTACAGCTAACCATTTCTTCCCCAGTACAGTATGGGAGAATAGACGTCTGAATCTTATTGCCTGTGCTAGACAGAGGACTGTTGCTTCAGATCCTTTTATACATGAGGCTATGTATTTAGAAATAGTGGGCTTTACCAGGCCAACTATAAAACGGTGTTGCTGAAAAATCCTAACTTTGTATCATGGGACACAGAGCGACCATATAATTCCTTCATCTAGGGATTATGCACTACCTACAGATTGGACACTGGCAAAAAAAGACAGGAAATCCTCTGCTATATAGCCCCTCCTATACAGGAAATACTTCTGTTTTTTCCACCAGTGTCTGAAGGTGAGAAGTCCCTTCTGTGTTACTTTCTGCACAATGTTAACAGGTTCTCAACGGTTCCAGCAGGAATCAGGAGATTAGATTGGTGCTACCCAGATCCATTCCTACAGCTAGAACGGTCAAGAGGATGGTACTCAAACCTCGCACTGGATGAAGAATGGAAAACATGCAGGGACTGCCTGTAATGCAACCAGCTTTGGACTCTGTATATATGGCATCCTGTTCAGTAAAAGCAGACAAGAAGATTTTGGCATAGTGTTATACAGGTCCAGGGCAGTGGACCCCACAAAGAGGGACTGAGTCTGTGAAGGTCCTGAGAGACATTGCCCGCTGTGATTGGTGAAGATTGGACCCCACTCTTTTGGAAGAGGGGTCCTGCGGCTGGATTTGTGAGTGTGCTCATAGCCCTACTAGTTACACTGTGTGGTCAGGCACTCCTTTAGGACAGGCACCCCATCCTATCCTAAAAAAAAAAAATCAAAAAAAAAACACATACCACACCACTCCAGTGAACCTGGACCTGCACTTAAAAATACAAGTTTGCTATGTCACGAGGAACATCTAGGAATATTAATTGTGTCTAAGCATTGCCCTGAAAAATTTAGCTATTTTCTAGAATTCCTCCTGAAACAAAGCAGTGCACTTCCTATGCCTGGGTCAGTCTTACTCAACTAGGGGTTCCCACAGAGGTTGCTAGGGGTCTCTTGAACAGTGATGGATTCACCTGATGGTGCCCAGATAGTTCTAGCACCAGCACCACTCAGAACAAAATGAAATGGAACTAGTGGAGCTTCTCGTTTATCAAGCAACTAACCACCGACACCCAATGATCAGGTTCATGGTCTGTTCCACTAAACACAATGTAAAGAGTATTCTGTAGGGGGGCTCTACACTGACCACCATTGAAATGATCGTTTTTTTCATGGACCACCACTAACAGGAATTTGTATCTTTTACAACTAGTGTAATACGACATTCCTTCCACTTACCATGACTGAAAGGCTATTCTTTCCAATGACCACCAGTGCAAGGAAGCCTCTCTCTCACTGATCGCCAATGTGGTTTGGCTAATATGCCATGAGCCGTGGATATGATCATCTCAGAGGTTTCCCTGAGAACTGAAGATTATTTCAGGTCTTCATGGTATAAAGATTGAGATTGGCTGGCCTATCTCAATCAAGTTGTGGAAACATCTCAAGGATGATCAGTGGGAACAGGATGCACCAGGAGTTCAATTTTGAGTGTCATGGCAAAGGCTGTGAATACTTATGTACATGGGTTTTTTATTTTTTAATAAATTGCAAAGACTTCAAAACAAACTTTTCACGTGGTACCGCCCCTTGATGACGTCGGTGTGACGAAACCGGTTGGGCGTAGCCTACTTGATGTGGACGTTAGAGAGCCTTGCTGGTCTGTGCTGTATGGGAGAGATCCGCGGTGAGCGTTAACTGTATCTCAACCCTTTTTTGCGATTGAAGCTGGTGTCTGTTGGACACCTTGTTTGTTAGTTTCCTTATACCTTTTTTATTAAAGAGATAAATGGAAAAAAACGTATTGCACCATTATGTTCTCTTTTTTGTCCCTGAGTGTACTGCATGTCCTCATGGAGGTATGAGAAAGAGTGGAGAAGTTCATCATAAGAGCTTGGGCTGCAAAGTTGTTTGTCTGTGATTATTATTATCTGGAAGTATCGGAAACCTCACCATATCTATTTGGACATCGAGTTCATTGCTCCCAGAGCACAAGCGCTGTTGCTGGTTTATTATCTGACCAGCCATTAGCTCTGGTGAGTTCATTTAATCTCCTTTGGTGGTGGATTTTTCACAATTGGTTCAAGTCACTGAAGATATATATATTTTTTTGGACACTAATTTATGTTTGGACACTATAATTTATTTAAAACACTGTTTTTTGGATGATGATATACACTTTTGTATAAGTTTGTTATTAGCGCATACCTTTTAATTTGGATTATTGATTGTAGAATGTTGGGGAAAAAAATTAATTTAATCCATTTTGGAATAAGGCTGTAACATAACAAAATGTGGCAAAAGTGAAGCGCTGTGAATACTTTCTAGATGCACTGTATATGTGTAGATGAAGAAGTCACGTGACCAACATGACGCAACGCGTAGGCACGCGGTGACGCACTTCCGGTTTGGACGCCATCTTTGTACACCCATGCAACTACACCCAGAACATGAGGTTTTTCCTATCTATGCCTTATACAAGATGTAGGAAAATGTGAGTTTACATTTTGTTAGATTTGTTTGCAATACTTCTTGATAATAAACGGTATTATACTATGGGAGCTTCTGCTTGTATTTTAGAACGAGCATATTGGCTACATCTCACGATACCACAGGGAGAGGAGGTCTGCCACCATTTAAACCTGCCTGGGAGAGGGAGACCACCAAGGAGAGAGTGACGCGGTTCTGGAGGAGTCTCTTATATGAAGGATCCAGAATTAGTGATCCTAAAAGTGTTTTGACCCTGTCTGGGTCGAGGCAAGGAGGTGAGCACGCATTTCAGTCATCTGTGGATACCCTCCTGTCACCTTACACATTTATCACCCATCTTCACGGGTGTTTACTTCTATTGAATGTATGGTGGTTCACACCAATCTGGACATTTATGTATTTAGACTTTTTTTTTTATGCAATTTTAGTGACATGCGTTGTTTTTAGTGATTATCGATTGTTCACGGCATGTGATTTAATATATGCACTTTATGCGTGTGGTTATATACGTGTTGGTCTTTGAATAATGCTTGGTAATTCATTTGAATTGTTTGTCTGTTGTAGGGGAGCATTTTTTTAATGCATGACACTTCATGCACTTTTCATTATTTGTTTCTTTGGAGCACAGTTGATATTGTAGTCCCATTTTGACTAGTTGGATGGTTCACTATCACATATAGATCCTATTAGGATCAATTGGGCACATTAGTCCTGATATGGACGTTTCTGTTCACCACTATAGATATATCATTATTTATGTGCACACACACATTTGTATGAATAATTTTGATCACCTTTTGTGTATGTTTCTTGGTTATTCTTTTCACTTCTTTTGATCTTCTATAGATCATACTCACATTGCAGGAAGCACTTGAGAGGTTTATAGTATATGTTATATATTATATATTATCTATTTTGATATTTATGCGGTTTAGATCTTCCACATATATGCAATATTGCACATATTTTTTCAGTAGCGCCACATCATTTTTTTTTTCTCTGTATATGTGGCCTCTCAGCTTTATGGCCCACCTCCTGAGAGGCCACATATATTCAAACCGCCGGGGCGAAAAGGTTAATATAAAACAATACAATAGAATCTTAACCACCACTAAAAAATAATTGCTTGTTACCTTTACATCAGCCTTTCAATGTCTAATTGGCTCACCTGTGGGATTGCGCAGAAGTTGAACACACTTTGATTTTGCAGTCGGGACAGGTACAGCAAAACATCTGGCACATGTTGCAGGGCATTGGTGATGAGCTCATTCAGACACTGCACAGCTGGCACAATATTTTCTGGCTTAGCGAGGTCCGACAGCTTCTTCCCATATTTATTCCACACCTGGTATAGGCAGAGCGACAGATAAGAAATACTGATCGCCAATTGACCTTCTTCCTGCTGTGCTGACAATGCGCTGATTGCCCGCTCCCAGCACAAAGTCCAAACAGTCAAAGACAGCTCCTGATCCCCACTAATGATCAGTGTCCGGTGATGCCCCTGGGCATTCACAACTTTTTAAAAGGACACTGGAGCGGGCAGGAAGGGGATAAAATGTCTTACCTATCTGTCTACATTGTACACCAAGATGAGATCAGCACAGTGTACAATTTTAATATCTGCAGAGATGAATGAACATGTCACCATCTTGGCCTGGCCAATCAAAATGTCTAAAGATCAAGAACCCAGAAGTAGACAGCAAGCGAAGGAGCTTCAGGACACCACAGTGCTGGAGTGGAGGGGAGTATAGTTCTGCTTGAAGCAGTCACATTAAATGACCCCCCCCCCCCCACAATAATATCTATCTATCTATCTATCTATCTATCTATATATATATATATATATATATATATATATATATATATATATACACACACACACACACACACACACACACATACATACATATCTCAGATAGTAGAGAACCTGGCTGTACTTGCCTCTTTCGGCCAGAACTCTCTGCCCTCCAACTGATCCTCCAGGTAATCACGGATGATGTTGGTCTTCTGCAGAAACAGACCCATGGAGTTGGAGAGCCTCGTGTCTTCTCCTACAATGGGGTCCTCCAGCTCTGATGCAGAGAAGAGACGGGACAGACCAATCCCCACCAAACCGGCTACATAATGACAGTACTGTGAGGGAGGAAGAAAAAAAACAAAGCAATTTAAAATCTGCAACAGTTAGTGAAGTAAAACATAACTTTGGCTCTGCAAATCAAATACCAGGAAATGATTTACATAGCTGCCTAGTGTAAAATATTTTTTTTTTGGCATATTCAGGAACTCCAGCCTTCCCTTCAGTCTTGCACAGTTGTACACGACTGTGAAATCTCTCACATTTCACTGCACACTGTGAGCATCTCACATTGTGACTTTCTGCAGTTTCTAATGTACAAAGAGCCTGCCTCATTTCCTGGCTGGAGAACATTCAGCATTATCTAAACTTCCCCCCCACCAACCTTGCTGTCCCTGGCCCACACCTTTCATTTTTTCACTCATAGATGCTCAGCATCGCTTATGGGCATTACAGTGGTCTGTGAAGTGCAGTTTCATCAAGGTTAAAATACACTTTACTGACCAAAAATGGTGAATTTAAAAGGAGAAGTAGTACAGCCAAAGCTCTGTTACTGACATTCACCGTTCTCTGCCCACAGTGGCAGTGAGAACTCAGTGATCATGTGACCACGGAGTTCTCACCCTTAGAACCAGCGGGGGACAGATGCAGCATTGGACCGTAAGTATCATTTGGGGAAAAAAAAAAACACTTGTTTTAAAAAGAGTAGATATGGGACTATGAGAAAAGAGGACGTTTGGAAACAATCTTGATAACGTGTGAGCCAACAGTTGACTTCCCCTACCTCCTTAGCACTCTGCATAAAACACAACATAAAATATTATCCATAAAAAAGAAAAAAAAAAAAAAAAAAAAACTTTGAGCAGAATCACTTTTTTTAGGTTGCTACAATATTCCAACAATCAAAATGTATTTAAAGAATTACTTTCTAATAAAATGTTATTACTGAGAGGTTGCAGCAACCCGAGACAATGCTTTTTTCTGCTGCAAATTTGCATCAGTCTTCTATATTTGTTGGTAACCTGGTACATTAAAAACATCTCACCAAAGTAAGTGGAAAGATCGACTTTTGACAATGGTCACCAGGACACATGTCCTCACTGAACAGAGGATTCTAGGACTGGTGAAGCCTAGTACCTGCCAGGGTTTCAGCTATAGGACCCTCCATGTGTACTCCTCACAGAGACCATGATGCTGCATTGACAATTGTATGGATCTGTCTAGTGCTTTCATGGAAGTTCAGGTGATGTCAATGCCAGCTTTACCATTCACATTACCATTAAGGTCATAGCAGCAACCCCCCAAACATAGTAATTTCCAAGACTGTAAAGGGACTTGTAACTGTCCTGATCTGGATACTTGTTCCATGACAAATGACTGTTAAAGTATTAAATTCAGAGGATAAGCATTAAAGTCAGACAACTAGCACTTTCAGAAAGTGGTCAGCAATGGCAACCAGTCCATCACAGCAGGGCTGATCACAAAATATGCATCAGGCTGATCTTATAGTGATGGAGAAGATGGGATGTAGTGTAGGCTGATGTCATATAGTGATGGAGAAGATGAGGTGTAGTGTAGGCTGATCTCATATAGTGATAGAGAAGATGGGATGTAGTGTAGGTGATGTCATATATAGTGATGGAGAGGATGAGGTGTAGTGTAGGCTGATCTCATATATAGTGATGCAGAAGAAGATGGGTATGGTAGTGTGGGCTGATGTCATATAGTGATAGAGAAGATGTAATGTAGGGATGTATATAGTGTGGGGGTGATGTCATATAGTGATGGAGAAGATGGGGTATAGTGTGGGCTGATCTCATATAGTGATAGAGAGATGGGGTCTAGTGTGGGCTGATGTCATATAGTGATGGAGTGTAGTGTAGGCTGATCTCATATAGTGATAGTGATATGGGGTATAGAGAGGCTGATCATGGGGAAGTGTAGTGCTGATGTCATATAGTGAGAGAGAAAACAGGGTATAGTAGTGATGTCATATAGTGATAGAGAAGATGGGGCATAGTGTAGGCTGATGTCATATAGTGTCGAGAAACATGGGGTGTAGTGTAGGCTGATGTCATATAGTGATGGAGAAGATGGGATGTAGTGTAGGTTGATGTCATATAGTGATGGAGAGGATGAGGTGTAGTAGGCTGATCTCATATAGTGATCAGAAGAAGGGGTATAGTGTGGGCTGATGTCATATAGTGATGGAGAAGATGGGGTAGTGTAGGCTGATGTCATATAGTGATGGAGAAGATGGGGCGTATGTAGTGTGTCAGGCTGATGTCATATAGTGATTCATAGAAGAAAGATGGGGTGTAGTAGTGTGGGCTGATGTCATATAGTGATGGAGAAGATGGGGTGTAGTGTAGGCTGATGTCATATAGTGATGGAGAAGATGGGGCTGTAGTGTAGGAAGATGATCTCATATAGTGTGATGGAGAAGATGGGGTGTAGTGTAGGCTGATCTCATATAGTGATAGAGAAGATGGGGTGTAGTGTAGGCTGGTGTCATATAGTGATAGAGAAGATGGGGTGTAGTGTAGGCTGATCTCATATAGTGATGGAGAAGATGGGGTGTAGTGTAGGCTGATCATATAGTGATGGAGAAGATGGGGTGTAGTGTAGGCTGATGTCATATAGTGATGGAGAAGATGGGGTGTAGTGTAGGCTGATGTCATATAGTGATGGAGAAGTGTATGGGGTGTAATGTAGGATAGAGGTCTCATATAATGATAGAGAAGATAGGCTGTAGTATAGAGGAGGTAAACAGATGCTGTTTATTACCAGAGATGTCATATCTCACCTTGTCCCATTCCAGTAAAGACTCCACATGCTTCTCCAGAAACTCCGCCATTCCCACCCCCATCTTGTGACAGATGTCGGCGATCACCTCCTGGTAGACCACAGCTAAGTTCCTGAACTCCAGTGAGATCTGACAGAAGAAAATGCAGCAGCTTAGAGCCACCAGAAATCACAAACATTTCATTTACTAGAGTCACAGGGAAAGCAGGAGGGGACACCTGCGGCTTTACAGCAGTATTATAGCAAAAGGTGATGGAGGGAGTTCCAGTCCAGGGTTAAGGTGCATGTCAGCACATCTTTAAAATACATGAACATTTCCCCACTTTTTATCTTTTCAAAAATGCTGCTTGCCCACACATTGTGTTTAGCAAAAGGTCTCTTGGGAGAAGTAGTTCAGGGGACATGCCTACGTCAATAGAAACTGAACTCCCAGCAGTTGCCTCTGCAGGAACAAGCCTGATGATGCCACAGGGAGGTAAAAGAAAAAAAATTATCCTGGGACATGCTCTAGAATGGAAGAGGAGATGAGGGTGTAAATGTGGGTAATGCCCAGACCAGGGACGGACTGACCATTTGGAAACTCGGGCACTGCCCGAGGGCCTGGGGTCAGTAGGGGGCCCCATGATGGGGGCCTTTTTCATAGGCTTTTTTTGAGTTTGGGTAAGGACATAGGGGCCCCATGATCCCCTATTGCCCGGGGGCCCCATGAGTTGTCAGTCCGCCCCTGGCCCAGACATACCATCCACTGATCTGTATCATTAGAATGTAAGAACACCACAATGGTGGCAGTGTGGTAGAAACACATATCTACAGTACAAGACTTCAGCAATTGAATACAGAACAATGACTCACTGTTGGGAAGTCCTCAAGAACCTGGCGATCCTTCTCTTTGCTGTCTGTGAACCTCCAGTCAGCCTTGTAGAGGAAGGTGTGGAAGTTGTGCAGCATGGGGATCTTGGTCTCTAGGCTTATGGTCATGTCGTCCTCCACAGTGTCCAGAGCTCGCAGAACCAGATAGAAGATACAGACTGCATGCCTGAGGGGAACAAAGAGCAGGTGGTCAATGTGTGCAACCAATCCAGATCATCACTAGAACCATCGATGCAGGGTCCATGTCGGTATGCTTGTGTCAATAGCTTTAGTTTGAGGCTTCTGAGACCATTCAAAATCCACTCACTGGTGCAACTGATCTGCAGTTGACCTCCTCTAGACCTATTTTAAGTACGTATTTCATTCCCATAGACTTACGGGGCATACACTGGAATCCTGGTCCATCCCTGGGCAGGATGTGCTGTGAGGGCCTGTGTTGAGGAAAAGCATCAAACACAGTCCCTAATAGAAGTTCTCACACCACAGCCTACTCAGGGATGGACCAGAATTATATGCACTGGCATCTTTGTAAGCCCCCAAACGTGTACCAGGGCTAGCCATAGAAGATCCCAGCCATGACAGGTGGATGGCCTGAGCTGTACACAAAAAGGAGTTGGCATCCTTTAGAAAAAAATAAATAACTAAAGAAATTTACCCAGTAATTATATTATTATTACTACTACATCGAGTTTAGTAATTAGTAATAGTTCCTCTTTTTAAACAACTCTGTTCCTAAAATAAAACTGTACAATAAATGGTTACTTAGAAAGACATGGAATACTCCCTTCTCCTGCTGCCTGTGCCACCCAGCTCTTGATCTCTGTATTAGTGAATAGAAAACTGCTGGCTGAAGATTCTGTAAAATCTGACACTTCCAGGAGTGTCAGTATTTTAGTTCCCTGCTGCACTCAGTGGTTTGATCCACCAGCTCCTTCATCACTACTGTATCCTACAGAGAAGGAATCCGACTGCGCAGCTGGGGACTAGTTAGTTGACACTCCCAGAACTTGGATTCTGTAGGTTCTTCAGCTGTTGGTTTATCTTCAATGCTGCAGAGATTTTTTTAAATATTTTAAATATTATACAGAAGTAGGTGGCTCAAACTATGGAAGCTGAGCTGTTACGACATGGAGCTGAAGAGCAAAAAAGCTTACAGAGACAGCCCTTCCACCTCTTTCCTATCAAAGTTGGAGCCATCAGGCGTATAGTAGAACTGTAGACAAACATTTTTATTTCCATTTTGGATACAGTAAGGGAGAGTTATAACCCCCCTGTCAATTTTCATTTTTTGTCATGTTCCCATTAGATTTCCCCTCTATTCCTGTTCTGTTGACAACCCAAAAATTTGGGGATTTTCTTTCACTCTCACTGATAATGGTAGAACAAATAGAGAGGGTGAATCTTCCTAACCAGGACACAAACAGCCATAAAAACCTGACACGGGTTCTAATTCCTCTCTATGCTATCCAAAACTGAAGAAAAACAAAAACGTCTCCTTTAGTTATACTATAATCAATTATGCACAGGGTGCAGGCAATGCAATTAGCAGGCTTGACAAGCTTTATAAAACTTACTTTTAATTGTAAAATAAAGATTTTTTTTATCATCTAAAAAAATTATCTAAACTGTCAACATAAAAAAAAAAAAAAAAATAATTTTACTCTCTAGGCTATATTCACTTCTTTGTGGTTTCTTTGCATGTAAACATGCCCATTCTTGTGAATTGGTTCCCCACAGTACTAAAAACACACCAAAAAAGTACATGTACCTTTTTACTGAAAGATAGTGCACCACAACGCAGTGCACCAAAATGCATGTGCATTGGCAGGGGAAGTTGGGGTTTGGAACAAATGGCATTGCAGCACCACAATGTGCAAAACGATGTCCTGCCTGTTTTTAAACACCCTGTAGAATACTGTAAAGGGATCCTGCTCCCCACCAGTTGCGCATTGGGTCTCCTGCAGCCGCCATGACATGCTAGTCTCTGGCCAGTCTGGTCTGCCCCTTTTGCTGACGTTCTCAAACCTGTAGTTACTACGGGACCATTGGCCACATCATTAGGATGGGAGGTGACCGCGGGTAGACGTGTCCATCCACATTTTAGAGAGCCGGACGGACGGCTGTCACAAGATTGTGAAATCAGTGCTGGTGAGGAGTGGAGGGAGACAGTATCATGAATGTCAGTAAGTAGATTTAAAAAGCTACACTGGCTTGTTACCAGCCAAGAACTTCTCCACTGCAGAAAATCCGCAGGAGAGTACCCAGGCTCACATTCTTCCTGTGCTCTACTTGTACATTCAGGAATAATATCCACTATACAGTGGAGCAAAAAAGTATTTAGTCAGCCACCAATTGTACAAGTTCTCCCACTTAAAAAGATGAGAGAGGCCTGTAATTGGCATCATAGGTAGACCTCAACTATGAGAGACAAAATGAGAAAAAAAATCCAGACAATCACATTGGCTGATTTGGAAAGAATTTATTTGCAAATTATGGTGGAAAATAAGTATTTGGTCACCTACAAACAAGCAAGATTTCTGGCTCTCATAGACCTGTACCTTCTTCTTTAAGAGGCTCCTCTGTCCTGCACTCATTACCTGTATCAATGGCACCTGTTTGAACTTGTTATCAGTATAAAAGACACCTGTCCACAACCTCAAACAGTCACACTCCAAACTCCACTATGGTGAAGACCAAAGAGCTGTCGAAGGACACCAGAAACACAATTGTAGACCTGCACCAGGCTGGGAAGACTGAATCTGTAATAGGCAAGCAGCTGTGTGAACAAATCAACTGTGGGAGCAATAATTAGAAAATGGAAGACATACAAGACCACTGATAATCTCCCTCGATCTGGGGCTCCACGCAAGATCTTACCCCGTGGCATCAAAATGATCACAAGAACGGTGAGCAAAAATCCCAGGACCACACGGGGGGACCTAGTGAATGACCTGCAGAGAGCTGGGACCAACTTAACAAAGGCTACCATCAGTAACACACTACGCCACCAGGGACTCAGATCCTGCAGTGCCAGACGTGTCCCCCTGCTTAAGCCAGTACATGTCCGGGCCCGTCTGAAGTTTGCTAGAGAGCATTTGGATGATCCAGAAGAGGATTGGGAGAATGTCATATGGTCAGATGAAACCAAAATAGAACTGTTTGGTAGAAACACAACTCGTCGTGTTTGGAGGAGAGAGAATGCTGAGTTGCATCCAAAGAACACCATACCTACTGTGAAGCATGGGGGTGGCAACATCATGCATTAGGGCTGTTTCTCCGCAAAGGGACCAGGACAGAATGAATGGGGCCATGTATCGTGAGATTTTGAGTGCAAACCTCCTTCCATCAGCAAGGGCATTGAAGATGAAACATGGCTGGGTCTTCCAACATGACAATGATCCCAAACATACCGCCCAGGCAACGAAGGAGTGGCTTCGTAAGAAGCATTTCAAGGTCCTGGAGTGGCCTAGCCAGTCTCCAGATCTCAACCCCATAGAAAACCTTTGGAGGGAGTTGAAAGTCCGTGTTGCCCAGCGACAGCCCCAAAACATCACTGCTCTAGAGGAGATCTGCATGGAGGATGGGCCAACATACCAGCAACAGTGTGTGCCAGCCTTGTGAAGACTTACAGGAAACGTTTGACCTCTGTCATTGCCAACAAAGGATATATAACAAAGTATTGAGATGAACTTTTGATATTGACCAAATACTTATTTTCCACCATAATTTGTAAATAAATTCTTTCCAAATCAGCCAATGTGATTGTCTGGATTTTTTTTTTCTCATTTTGTCTCTCATAGTTGATGTCTACCTATGATGCCAATTACAGGCCTCTCTCATCTTTGTAAGTGGGAGAACTTGCACAATTGGTTGCTGACTAAATACTTTTTTGCCCTACTGTATGTGTGGAAAGCATTTTTAAATTTTTTTTTGTTAAGAGTGCCATACGATACAGGGCTGAATCTGATCTGGGGGTGCAGGGAAAAAAAAAAAGCCAGGAGGCATAATATCAACACTGTGTGTAGGTCACTGAGTGTCACACAGTGTCATGACCTGGGAAACACCATTACATATTACATTGTCCTTAGGTTAGGGTGATTAAACAAAACCCGTGCCCCCTTATATCAGATGTCCTAACGGAGACCCTTTACATCAGGAGTCCTTCTTTACATCATGACTACTCATCAGAGTTCCCTCTGACACCAGGTTTCCCCATCAGGGTGCCCCCATACATCAGGGTTCCATCAGAAAGCCCCCTTACATCAGGTGTCCCCAGACTGCCCCTTACATCAGGATCTCCATCAACATGCCTCCTTACATCAGTTGTCACCATCAGAAAGCTCCCTTACATCAGGTTTCCATCAGAGAGCCCCCTTATATCAGTCTTCCCATCAGAGTGCCCCCTTACATCAGTCTCCCCATCAGAGTGCCCCCTTACATCAGTCTCCCCATCAGAGTGCCCCCTTACATCAGTCTCCCCATCAGAGTGCCCCCTTACATCAGTCTCCCCATCAGAGTGCCCCCTTACATCAGTCTCCCCATCAGAGTGCCCCCTTACATCAGTCTCCCCATCAGAGTGCCCCCTTACATCAGTCTCCCCATCAGAGTGCCCCCTTACATCAGTCTTCCCATCAGAGTGCCCCCTTACATCAGGTTCCCATAAGAGAGCCCCCTTATATCAGTCTCCCATCAGAGTGCCCCCCTTACATCAGGTTCCCAACAGAGAACCCCCTTACATTATTTTTCCATCAGGGAGCCCCCTTACATCAGTCTCCCCATCAGAGTGCCCCCTTACATCAGGTTCCTACATCAGGTTCCCAAAAGAGAGCCCCCTTATATCAGTCTCCCCATGAGAGTGCCCCCTTACATCAGGTTCCCAACAGAGAACCCCCTTACATTAGGTTTCCATCAGAAAGGCCCCTTAAATCAGTCTCCCCATCAGAGTGCCCCCTTACATCAGGTTCCCATAAGAGAGCCCCCTTATATCAGTCTCCCCATCAGAGTGCTCCCTTACATCAGGTTCCCAACAGAGAACCCCCTTACATTAGGTTTCCATCCATCAGGAAGACCCCTTACATCAGGTGTCCCCGTCAGACTGCCCCTTACATTCTTACATCAGGATCCCCATCAAAGTGCCTCTTTACATCAGGTGTCCCCATCAAAGTT